GACGCACAATGACCACCAGGGGGCAGATGCTCCAACCAGTAGAGGAGGGAGCCTGATTCCGCACGGAATCGGCCATGGGTTAGGTTGCTGCTGGGGCACTGTCGGCCCTGGATCTGCTTCACCTGCACCAGGACCCGGAGAGGAGGGCTCCCCGCAGGCCAGGCCGAGGGACACCCCCCCCCCCCCCACTGCACCAATCCCTGCACTGGGGCCTCTATATTTTTATACAAATAAAGTGCGTGTGTGTATATATTTATACACCAACACCAAATGGAAAAAATATGGGGAGATATAGCATCACGCTGGGGACGTTGGGGTACCAAGTGACTTCCAGAATCTACATTAATTTTCTTTTCCTTTTAAAAAATGGTTATACATTTTCTTATATTTTCAAAAAGAAGGGAGAAGGAGAGAGGAACATCCATGATGAGAGAGAATCACCCATAAGCTGCCTCCTACACCAACCCCTCCTGGGGATCGAGCATGTGACCTCCTGGTTCATAGGTCGATGCTCAACCACTGAGCCACACCAGCCGGGCTCCACATACATTTCTTATCATTTTGTTTCTTTCAGTGCAAATGTATTGCTTCACTGATTATCTTTTTTCCAATTTCCAGCTGGAAAAAATCGCCAGGCAGGCAATCTGTGCTGTCCAGCAACTCCCTGGAGAAAACATCCGACCGAGCCATATCCTCCCAGGTTCTTAAGACGACATCCCCTGACCAGCATGTGGCCGCCCACCTCCGTCTGATCTCGGTCGCCAGTTACCTCCGCTGGTAGGAGGCCTGGGAGCTCCATTCCGCCTGTTTGGAGCTGCAGGCGTTCGATATCCTGAAGTAGCGGCTGTTCTCATCCCACTGCTGCCGAAGCCGGGCCTCCTGCTCTCGGTGTCGCTGCCGTGCTACCTGCTGGTCCAGGAGTCTCCGGCTGCACCAGGAGGGGGGCAGCGTGGGGAGTGCCATCTGGGAACAGCAGGGGCAGGGAAATGAGCTTGCTGCCAGCCCAGGAACCCTCTCAAGCTTGGCCTCATCCCTCAGTGAGTGGTCCTCACCCTTTGGCTGCACACGAGAATCACGGGATGGAGCCCAGGCCCCACTCCAGACCAATTAAATCCAAGTCTTCATGTAGGCCCGGGCATCAGCAGTGTTTTTCAGTGGTTCTCAACCTTCTGGCCCTTTAAATACAGTTCCTTATGTTGTGACCCAATCATAAAATTATTTTCGTTGCTACTTCATAACTGTAATGTTGCTACTGTTATGAATCGTAATGTAAGTATCTGATATGCAGGATGGTCTTAGGCGACCCCTGTGAAAGGGTCGTTTGACCGCCAAAGGGGTCGCGACCCACAGGTTGAGAACCGCTGGTTTAAATGATCTGCCCTCAGGGCTGCAAACCCCAGACTTAAATGAGCCTGAACTGCACCCAGCTGTGGTACAAACATCCCCAAGGGCACTGCAGACGGACAGGGAACCAGTCCTAGCAGTGCTGGGCCGGGCACACTGGGCACCTCTACGCTCTGCATGAGGAGCGGTCACTTACAGAACACGGCTGTGCCAAGCTCGTGGTACATACGGCTTTTTCCTTACTGCCACCCCATTAGTGGCAGGGAGGGAACTTAAGTTCAAAGAGATGAAGTGACTTCCCAAGATCACTAAGCAAGAGAGAGGAAATAAAAGAACTGGGAAACAAGGACTGAGTCCTGTGGGTCTGAGACCAGGGCCCAGGCTCCAGCCTGCAAGAGGCTGCCCGCTGGGACCAGCAGCCCTGGCTTCCTCGCCCTGGGGAGGGGCCTGGCCCAGGTGTCACACCTGGAAATGTTCTGGGTTCTCACGGAGGGCAGACCCCTCATCGCACTGACCGAGACACTGCGACCCGCAGAGAGGGTCGCAGAGCAGCCTGGGGACCCACAGGGAGACTGGGAGGCAGTCTCACTCGGACACCTTCCCTGGCCCCGCGGCCGCTCGAGGGCAGGTCTGCAGCGCGGCCAGGACTGTGCTTGGCCCGTCCTCGGAGTAAGCCACGCCCAGCTCCGCGCCACCCTCGGACCCGGGGAGCCGCTGCGGCTGGGCTCATCCCCATCTCCCTGGGCTCATCCCCGGCCGCCTGGGCTCATCCCCATCTCCCTGGGCTCATCCCCATCTCTCTGGGCCCATCCCCGGCCGCAGGGCTCATCCCCATCTCCCTGGGCTCATCCCCAGCCGCAGGGCTCATCCCCGGCTGCAGGCGGGCGGGCTTCCACGCTTCCTTCCTCGCCTTGGCTGAGCGAGGTCCCGGTGCCAAGAAGCCAGGTTGCGGGTCCGGATCGGCCACCACCAGCCGGGCTGCCCCCCGAGCCGGCCGCACCCTCTCTCGGCCCCAACACACACACGTGACCAAAGGGCCCCGAGCGCGGCGGGAGCAGGGAGCGCGGATGCCGGTCTCGGGGCGCCCCGCGCTCGCGTCCCGGGTGCCCGCGGGGTTGCCGCCGGCGCGAGGCCACGGCGGGTCTGACCCCACTCCGGCTCCCGGCCGAGCCCACGCTCCGACTCACGTTTCTCCGCGCCCGCCGTTCCCGGGGAGTCCCAGCGTCCGAGCGCCCGCAGGCCCAGCCGACCCGCCGCCACCCTCCGGCCGCGCTGCCCAGCGGCCGTTTGCCCGCTCGTTGCTCGGACGCGGCGCCGCGACGGGGCCCCGCGAGGGCCAAGCGGCCCGGCGCGGTCCGGCCTCCCGGAGGCCGCGTTTTTCTCTGGCGCCGCCTCGTGGCGGGCGGAGGTCATCGCAAGCGTCGCTGGTCCTGGGAACGGGGAGGAAGGAGGGTGGTGACCTGGGGAGACGCAGGGGACGGTGGGGAGACCGGGGTAAGCAGGGAGGCGAATATAAGCTAGGGGCCCTCGCTGCTAGGGGTTCTCAGGCCTGATTGCACACGGATGCCCTGGGAGGTCTGAGAAAGGCAGCTGCCCCAGCCCCGGCCGGTTTGGCTCAGTGGATAGAGCGGCAGCCCACGGACTGAAGGGTCCCGGGTTCGATTCTGTTGCAGGCTCCATCCTCCCCCTGGTCGGGGCATGTGCGGGAGGCAACGAATCGCCGTGTCTCTCTCACATTGATGTTTCTCTCTGTCTCTCCCTCTCCCTCCCACTCTCTCTAAAATGCAATGGAAAAATATCCTCGGGGTGAGGATGAATAACAACAACAAATGCAGATGCCCTAAAAAAAACCCCAAAATCCAAATACCCACACCAAACTCCAGGCAAATCCCATCAGGCGCTCTGAGGGATAGTGGTCGCCTAAGCTCCCCGTGCGTTCAAGGTGCAACTCCTGGTGTAAATGGACCTGTTATGGTAACTTTCTTTCTTTCTTTTTTTAAATATTTTTATTGATTTTAGAGAGGAAGGGAGAGGGAGAGAGAGATAGAAACATCAATGATGAGAGAGAATCATTGATCGGCTGCCTCCGGCACGCCCCCCACTGGGGATTGAGCCCGCAACCTAGGCATGTGCCACTGGCCAGAATCTAACCTGGGACCTTTCAGTCCGCAGGCCAATGCTCTTATCCACTGAGCCAAACCAGCCAGGGCCTTTCTTTCTTTTTTTAATAATTCTTTATTGTTGAAGGTATTACATCTGTCCCCCCTTCCTTCCCCATGTTATGGTAACTTTCTACTGTCTTAGATTGGTTGTAGGTTCAAGGGTGTTCACTCTATTAGTATATTTTATGACTCACCTGTGCTATGCATATTATTTATTCCATTTAAAAGATAATGAAAAATATCCACAAGTTCCTTTTCCTTCATTTTCCCGTTCTCTCCATTGTTTTCTCCCTTTAACTTCTCCAGGCCCTTATTAACTTCTCTGATTTCCTGGCTGCAGTGTGGTACCCTGGCCGGGTAGCTCAGTTGGTTAGAAGGTCCTCCCCGCACACCAAGGTTGCAGGGCGGATCCCCAGTCAGGGCTCATATAAGAATCAACCAACAGACGCATAAATAAGAGGAACAACAAATCGATGTTCCTCTCTCTCTCTCTCTCTCTTTCTCTCTCTCTCTCTCTCTCTCTCTCTCTCTCTCTCTCTCTCTCGTTAAATAAATAAACTTTCTTCCAAACTGTGAGTTTCCTGCCCTTCGTTTTGCAAATGAAATCCCTAGAGGCCAGGCAGCTCTCTTGAGGTCGCACTGCAAGGACTAGGAGAGCCAGGTGACACCCCAACTGCGGAACTGGCGACTCTCCTCATCCTGCCTTTCCAGGGCGTGTGGCTTGCAGGTGTCGCTCTTAAAAGAGGCCGCCAGATGTGGACCAACCGCGAGTTCAGCAATATTCAATATTTAGAGACAAGTGATGACTATGGCCCCGGAGGCTGAGAGGGAACCCTGGCGGGAACCAGCAGGCCAGCTGTGAGGGGCCTGGGCTTGTGTCTGGTGCCCTAGCCCTAGCGTGGGAGAGGAAGCAGGAGTGGGGGGGACACAGGCGGCTCCTCTCTAGCTGACCTGTGACAGCTGGAGGCCTGCCGGGCCCCCCTCATCAGCAGGCGGCATTGCCAAGGCACACCTGTCTGCTGGGTTTGAGCCTTTCAACATCAGCCACTCCGGCTCCTCCCCTGGGCGGGGCTCGCATCCGCCCTGGAGACAAAGGGTGCAGGAGGCAGGTGAGCTCAGAGACCCTGGGGCGATGGGGCTGCCTCCCAGAGCCCCGGTTTTGTGTTTTAACAGTAATAACGACAGGGATAATAATAAATGTAGGTATCTCGTGGGGGAAATGTGGAAGGCCATTCACCAAAACACAGCGGGCTTCACTAGGAGACAGGAGGAGGGGGTTTTCATTTTTATTTTTCTCTGGATTTTTAAGTTTGCGAAGGTCACTGTTACTTGTGTCATTAAAAGTGGCTGTCACCGAGGCAGGGCTGAGTCACCGCGAGAGAATTCTGAAGTCCCACGCTGACCCCTGAGACAGAAGTTCTGATCTAAATGGTCAGGGACGGGGCCTGGGCGTCTGTATTTTTAAAGAAACCTTTAATTTCAGAATGAATAGCGCTTAGATTTACAGAAAGCACTGCAAAGGTGGCCCAGAGCGCTCCCTCGTGCTTCGCACCGGTTTCCGCCGTGACTGACACCCTGCTCCCTCGGGTCTCACAGGGTGAGGCTGGAGGTGTCAGCAGGGCTGCGTTCCTTTGGGGGGGGCTGGGGAGAAGAGGTCTCCGCCTTTGGGGCTTCTAGAGTCTGCCACTTCCCCCCCGCCCTCCTCAAAGCCAGCGCCTGGCTTCCTCCTCTGCGCGCTCTTCCCCAGGCCCCTCCCTTAGGACCAGCTGGGACGGCTTCTCCACGTTTAAGGGTGCAGGCCCCGGGGTGGTTCGGGGTACCCGCCCCATCTCAGGGTTTTGGACCTTCACCACAATCTGCAATCCCTTTCGCCATTGAGGCATCGTATTCACAGGTTCGGGGTTGGGACATGGGCATCTTTGGACGCCATCATTCCACCTACCACCAGGGGAAGGGGACGCGCCCTGCTCACGATGAACTTGTAGTTTAGTTTCACTTTTTTTTTTTTTCCACCTGGAGGCCATGGCATCCTCCGAGCACCCCTAGCCGATGGCACGCACCTCCTCCCTCCCAACTGGGAGGTCGTTGTCTGGAAAGAAACCTGCACCTGAGCCTGCCCGCTCCCGGCTGTGCTTCCCGCTGTGGCGGGCCCTCCCCTCCTCCGCCATGGGCGCCTCTTCTGTAAGCCGGTGGCTCATCAGACCTCATCCTAACCGCCAGCTCCTGTCTGCAGAGGAAGCTGGAACATGGAATTCTGTTCTAGAACCTTCGGTTCAGAGCGCTCAGGTAGCTCAACCTACTTCCACCGGCCGGAGCACATTTATCTGACGGAATGGCACTAACTCTTCAGGGGATTCACATTCTTTTCCAAGGCCAGAGGGAGAAGGAAGGCGCCCGTACGGGTACAGTCCACAGATGAGGCATGGAGCCTCTCACCTCGATGTTCCTCTCTCTCTCTCTCTCTCTCTCTCTCTCTCTCTCTCTCACTCTCTCTCTCTCTCTCTCTCTCTGCATTTCCCATGACTTTCCTGGACACGAACACCCCTGGCCGTCCCTGGGTGGCAGAGCGCCTCCACCTCCTAAGCTCCCAAGTTCAAGGTGACTGGGAGATGGTGTCAAAGCAGCTCCCTTCTCTGCTTGACCCTGAGCCCTCCTCAGCCTCCATTTCCCTCCGCACAAAGCCCACCCGGTGAGCCAGCCATTGGACACCTGGTCGACCTCGCCTACCACACTGGCCTTCTCTTTAACTCTCAGGGCCAATGTTCCCCCCATACTGTTCCCTGTGCCTGGAAGGCTCTTTCCTCCTCTAACTCCTCATCCTTCAGGCCTTGGTGTAAATGCCCCTTCCACTGAGAAGCCCTCCAAGACCTCATCTGGGTAGGTCGGGTCGCCTGACCTCAGGACACACTGTTTTTCCTCCATAGTATTCATTGCTGAGTTAAAGCAATGGATTTTTTATTTTCCTTTATTGATTAAGGTATTACATATGTGTCCTTATCCCCCTAAAGCAGTGGTTGGCAAACTGTGGCTCGCAAGCCCCATGCGGCTCTTTGGCCCCTTGAGTGTGGCCAAGAGGTTTCAATCGCACTGTACGTGTGCACCCGCACGTGGTATTTTGTGGAAGAGCCACACTCAAGGGGCCGCAGTTTGCCGACCACTGCCCTAAAGCAATGGCTTTTAAAAATGAGCATCCATGCCCTAACCGGTTTGGCTCAGTGGATAGAGCCTTGTCCTGCGGACTCAAGGGTCCCAGGTTCGATTCCGGTCAAGGGCATGTACCTTGGTTGCGGGCGCATCCCCAGTAGGGGGTGTGCAGGAGGCAGCTGATCAATGTTTCTCTCTCATCCATGTTTCTAACTCTCTAGCCCTCTCCCTTCCTCTCTGTAAGAAAAAAAAAAATCAATAAAATATATTTTTTTAAAGAGACCATATACATGTATATATACAACATTAAAAAAAAAAAAAGAGCATCCATGCCCTAACCGGTTTGGCTCAGTGGATAGAGCATCGGACTTCGAACTGAAGGGTCCCAGGTTTAATTCCGGTCAAGGGCATGTACCTTGGTTGTGGGCACATCCCCAGTAGGGGGTGTGCAGGAGGCAGCTGATCGATGTTTCTCTCTCATCGATGTGTCTAGCTCTCTATCCCTCTCACTCTCCCTCTCCCTTCCTCTCTGTAAAAAATCAATAAAATATATTTTAAAAACATGAGCATCCACACCAGGCTTTGCGAGGCCGGTGTGGCTCAGTGGTGAAGCCTCGGCCCGTAGTAGGTTTGGACGCTCTGATTCTGTATATGATTCATCCCTGTTAACAATACCGGGCCTGCCCTGGCCGGTGGCTCAGTAGGTTAGAGCGTGGTCCCGATACGCCAAGGTTGTAGGTTCGGTCTCCAGTCAGGAGTCAACCAATGAGGCATCAACATTGGAACAACAAAGCTCTCTCTCTCAATAAGTGAAAAGAAAAGAAAAGAAATGACGCGGGGTCTGCGAGCTCCTTGGCGGAGCGCCATCTGTGCGCCCCGCGGCCTCGCAAAGTCTGGGAAGTGACTTCGAACCGAATGCAATAAAGAAAGCCATCTTCAACTTTTAATATTTTAAAAACATTTTTATTGATTTTAGAGAGAAGGGAGAGAGAGAGAGGGAGAGAAGCATCAATGATGAGAGGGAACCATTGATTGGCTGCCTCCTGCACACCCCACACTGGGGATGAAGCCTGCAACCTGGGCATGTGCCCTGACGGGGAATCGAACCGTGACCTCCTGGTTCCTAGGCCAATGCTCAACCACTGAGCCACACCGGCCGGGCACCTTTGACTTTCATGTTCTCCGACGTAATAAGCAGGGGAGCTGGCTGTGACTGTCGGTGGCAGCTGGGTTTCGGCTGCCCATGTGGGTATCCGGGGGAAGTGTTTCTCCCTCGGTTCCCCTCCGTGTTGCTTCCATGTCCGAACACCATTTTCATCCAGTTACTGAGAAAAAGGTCACGTGTTTAGCGGTAGCGGCTGCTCGGGTCCCCGGGACGGCCTATGGCGGAGTCGCCTGGTCGCTAATCAGGGAGGAGAAGCAGACGGGCCTGGGGAACAGCCAGGCGGGCTGGCACGTGCTGCGCACCCAGGGGAGCTGGCTGCACAGAGCCCACTGGGCGCCTGCGATCCTCTGAAAACCTGGCCCCGGAGAGGTGACATCACCGGGATCGTTACCCCACCGTTGCCAGTACTGGGTAGAAATAACTCAGGAAACTGATTCCTAATCACCACCCACTCATCCAGGGCTGCCTGCCTGCCCGCGTGCCAGCTGCCTGGCTCACGCCCCACTGAGACCCACAGCAGCCGGCCGTTCCCATCACCACCAGCCCCTTCTCACCGCTGAGACCTCGGAGGCTGGGAGAGGGGCAGCGTGGGGGCGAGTAGTGGCCGCAGATGCAGCAGGCCCTGTCCCCGGAGCCTCTCAGGTGGCCTTTGGAAAAGGGGTCTTGGCAGGTGTGGTCGAGGGAAGGATCTTGAGATGAGAGACTGTGCTGTGTCCCCGGGGCAGCCCCGAGGCCAGGCCAGCGTCCTTCTAGGAGCCGCCTCGGGCGATGCGCACACAGGGAGCAGGCCGCCTGAGGGCGGGCAGACACGGAGGATGCGGCCAGGAGCCGGGAGCACCGGGGCCACAGGAGCGGGAAGAGCATCGGGTTTTCCCCTGAGCTTCCCGGCGAGCGGCTCTGCGGACACCCGGTTCCGCCCCAGGGAAGCCGACTGGGCTCCTGGCCTCTGAGCCGAGAGCACAGCGGTTCCGCGGGATGCATCGCTGCAGCCTCGTACTGCAGCCGCGGGCAGCTCCCCGGGAAGCGGGGAGTGGAGGCCCGGCTTCCCGCCAGGGCTCGGCGGCGCCGCCTGCGAGGTGTTGTTACTCTGCATGTGGCAGAGGCTCACGCGGAGGAGGCCTGTGGCAGGGCCGTGGCCGGCCCTTGTCTGTCCGCCCCGGGACCTGCAGGGAGAGGCCGGCGCACAGGGTTTGATGATTCAGTTCGGGAAGAAGCTGAATGTAACAGCGGGTGGAGCTGGGGCAGGACAATGACGCAACTCGGTGGGTAAACGCCTCACCCCCTGAGTCAGTTCCAACCGGCCCAGCGGGTCCTGCATCGGAGGGGCCTGTCCTGATGGAGCAGGTGATGGCGCAACAGCCCACAGACATGCGGCGGCTCCTTGGCCGGCAGTATTTCCCCGAACATTTTAGTTCTCGGCCGACCCTTTGTCCTCTGTGGTCCCGCGTAAACACTCCATAAACACTGGTTGAGCCCGAGCCGGTTTGGCTCAGTGAATAGAGCGTCGGCCTGCGGACTGAAGGGTCCCGGGTTCGATTCTGGTCAAGGGCACATGCCCGGGGTGCGGGCGTGCAGGAGGCAGCTGATCGATGATTCTCTCTCATTGATGTTTTTGTCTCTGCCTTTCCCTTCCTCTCTGGAATCAATAATAATATATTTTTAATTTTAATTTTATTTTTTTAAATATATTTTATTGATTTTTTACAGAGAGGAAGGGAGAGGAATAGAGAGTTAGAAACATCGATCAGCTGCCTCCTGCACATCTCCCACGGGGGATGTGCCCGCAACCAAGGTACATGCCCCCGACCGGAATCGAACCTGGGACCCTTCAGTCCGCAGGCCAACGCTCTATCCACTGAGCCAAACCGGTCAGGGCAATAATATATTTTTTAAAAAGATGAGTTGAATGTGTGAATGTCTGCCTCACTACAGTGAACTAAAGGTAGGACCTGATGGCCTGTAGCTAAAGCCAGCTTGCCAAAGGTTTGTGTTTCTCTCCCCTCTCCCTTCCCTTCCCTTCCCTTCCCTTCCCTTCCCTTCCCTTCCCTTCCCTTCCCTTCCCTTCCCTTCCCTCCCCTCCCCTCCCCTGCCCTTCCTTCCCTTCCCTTCCCTTCCCTCCCCTTCCCTGCCTTTCCTTCCCTTGGACCCTGCCTCCCCTGCCTTCCTTTCTACTCTTGAACAACTGAAAAATTCAATCCAGCCCCACCCCTGTGTCTAAGTGGCTGGAGCACCGGCCCCCACATGGAAGGGTCAGGTTGGAGTCTTGGTCAGGGCACGTGCTTGGGCTGCAGGTTCCACCCTGGCCCCAGTTGGAGCACGTTCAGCAAGCAACCAATCCATGTGTCTCTCTCACATCGATGTTTCTCTCTCACATTGATTTCCCCCCTCTCTTTCCCTCCCTCCCTTCCACTCTCTCTAAAAATCAATGCAAAAAATAGCCTGGGGTGAGGGTTAACAAAAAAAGCAAACAAGCAAGAAAGTTTCAACCCCAAACCCACTAGATGGGTCCCAGCATCAGCAATGGGGGATGGGGGTACGTGCTGGTCCACAGAGGGGAGTCCTGGCCCAAATGCAGTGAGGAGTGTGGTGAAGGTGACCTAGGTTGAGTGGCCAGAGCTCATGTGAGCGAGGAAGGCGTCCTCATGGACAGGCAGCCTGGGAGGGGGGTCAGAGCCCGAGTGGGGTGTAAGGGGCGTCTTGTTGAGAGGGCAGCATCGATAACAATCGTTACGCACTGGGGATTGGTCGATAAATGAACAGGTTAAAATCAGTGGGAATACCAGGCTGCCCACGGTCAGAGGAGGGAGTTATTAACATGGAAAGGGAGAAAAGCTAGAATTAACCCTGTGGCTTAGATGGAAACTGGATCTATTTGCTGGACTCATGGTTTCCAATATACTAGTAGGTCGATGACTCTAGAAACAAACACTACATGTAGATGTGGGTGTGCATCTGTGGTGCACACACGAGTGCAAGTCTGCCCACTGAGAGGATCTGGAGCAGCGACACCCGGTAAGGAGAAGCACATAGAATATTGGGGCGTTGTGTCAGCAACTTATGCCCAAATGGTTCAGGAATAAAAAGTTCTTTGAATTGTCCTCATAATTTCTCTGTAAATTTGAGATTGTGTCAAAAGAAAAGGGAATAAATGTTTTGTGTGGCTTACCTAGTGTTGTTTCTTTTTTTAAATTTGAATTAATTGCCAACATTTAAAAATCATGAGATTTTACCCTCAAATCTAGGTTTCCTGTGTCTCAAGAAATCTGAAATCTCCCAACTCTGGGCAGCGAGTGGCCAGGTGAACAGCGACAGTGCCCTTTGTTTATTTGTGGGTTTTTAAAAAAATATATATTTTATTGATTTCTTACAGAGAGGAAGGGAGAGGGATAGAGAGTTAGAAACATCGATGAGAGAGAAACATCAATCAGCTGCCTCCTGCACATCTCCCACTGGGATTGTGTCCGCAACCCAGGTACACGCCCTTGACCGGAATCGAACCTGGGACCTTTCAGTCCACAGGCCGACGCTCTATCCACTAAGCCAAACCGGTTTCAGCTATTTGTGGGTTTTAAAAAATGTTTTTATTTATTTCAAAGAGAGGACGGGAGGAGAGAAACATCAATGATAACAGAGAATCATTGATCAGCTGCCTCCTGCACGTCCCCCGATGGGGATTGAGCCTGAAACCCTGGCATGTGCCCTGACTGGGAATTGAACTGTGACCTCTTGGTTCATGGGTTGATGCTCAACCACTGAGCCACACCGGCTGGGTCACAGTGCCCTTTAGATATACCATGTGACCCCCAGTACTCCACGATTCCCACCACTCCTTCCACCAGCTCACAGCATCCATTTATACTACCAGCTTGGCCCCTGGTCCCAGTTCAGTTCCTATCATAAACCATGAGAGAGCAATAATGGACACATTTCAAAGGCATTTCATTAACCCAGAGCAATGACATATCTCAGAATATCCAATTAAATTCTATGACGAGAGAATTCTTCTGGCTTGAATTTCTTGTCAGTCACGTCTCCGGTGTGGCACTGGGATGGCACGCGTTGAGAAATCGGGGTGTTGTCTGATCAGGAGGCCCCGTGGGGGCTGTGATCTCTGAGGAATGGATGGAGGTGTCTGAAAGGCGGGCGCGTCCGGCCTCGCCAGGTGCTGGGGAGGCTGAGATGGTATCTCAGGTGCCTGCGGGGGCAGCTGGGTGTGGTGGGAACAAGCCCCGTCGATGACTTTGTGCCCGTCAGTGGGAGCTGCTGGGTGAGGCATGTCAGGGTTTGGGTTTTGAGCAAGAAGAGATGCTAGCGTTGTCTCCCCAGACCCTCTCACCGCCTGACGGCTTGGCTCATGTCCTTGATTTGGAAAACTTCTTCTCTCATCTGCCCCTTGAAAGATTACATTGAAAATCTATAATAATAAAAGCGTAATATGCTAATTAGACCGGATGTCCTTCTGATCAAAGCCGGGGCTGCCAGGGAAGCTGGGGCTGCCAGGGAAGCCAGTGCCCGCAGCCGGGGGAAGGAAGGCCTACTCTTGCACGACTTTCGTGCATAGGCCTCTAGTCTCCAGTAAGGTTTGGCCATTAGCTTTCTGGCACTAGTGACTTCTCATTGCCCTGAGGATAAAATCCAAACCTGTACCACCCCCTGCTGAGTTCTGCACACTCCAGCCCCCGCCCAACCTCTGAGCTCAGCTGCGACCACTCCCTCCCCTGGGCCCCTGGTTGCTGCGGGCACCAAGCTCTTTTCGACCTTAAGTTTTGCTCAAGCTCCAGCCACTCTGGCTGCTCTACTTCAGGTCTCAGCTTAAATGTAGTCGCCTCTTCAAAGGTACTTACTGCCCCCAAACCCCTACATCCTGTCTCAGCCATTCGCGTGCCCATCCACTGTCACTTCACTGTTTTATTTTCCATTTATACTCGTCAGTGTCCGCAGTTGTCTTATGCAGGAGGCCCGTGTGGGCTGTGATCTCTGTGGAAGTGATGGAGGTGTGATCTGTGTGTCATAGTGTCTCCCCACCTGGACCGTCAGCTCCTGAGAGCAGGGATTCTGCCGTCACTGTTGCCGGCGCCCAGCACGTGCGCGCTCCGAGCGGGGCCGGCTGCCTGTCCCGGAGCGATGGGGAGCCCTCAGCAGCCAGGCGCTGGAGGGACGCTGGAGAAGGGGGTGGGTCAGGACACAGCCTCCAGGTGGGCCGTGGCCGAGTGGACTGTGTTCCCTGGTCCTGGAGGCCGGAGTCAGGGCCGGCTGGGAAACGTGCGCTGGCGGCGGCGGTTGCCTGGATCATACACTGGGCGGCTGAGGTCAGCCCGGACCCTCGAGGTCAGGACCAGGAGCCCTGCCGGGCGCGGCTGTGCTGCCGGCACAGGCCGGGGTGAGCCCTGACGGAGAAGCAGCAGGTCCCCGCTGGTTGTAGCTGAAAGGAGCTGCGGCCCGACGTGTCCCCGCAGGGCCCCCGGGCTGCAGGGCGGGCGTGGGGCACCGGCGTCCTGCGGGTGCGGCCGGGTCGGCGGTCGCCGGGCTGCTGTGGGCGGAGAGTCACCCTGGGCAGCGCCGCGCCCCCCGCAGGCGGGGACCAGCCCCTCGGGGGCGGCGGGAGACACACCCGGCTGCGCGCACCTGGGCGCACCTGGGCGCACCGGGACCCATCGGTTCGCGCGCTTCCGCGCGGGGGCGGAACGGTCCCGCCCCCCGACCAATGGAGGCGCGGAGATCCGCGGAGACGGGCGCCTATTGGGCAGGCGGGCAGGGCGGCCGGCGCGGATTGGGCGCGGGCGGACGGGGCGGTCGGCGCGGCGGGCACCTTAGCCCTCGGCCGGCGGGCGGCGCTCAGCGCTCGGCT